CTCGACATAATTCATTATTTCTCAAGTAAATTTGGCATAATACTCGAGGTATGCACTTACCTTCAGCGATACCTGATAAGTGCCAGAAAATATTGTCCATCGTTTTGCTGCTTCTAAAGGCACTCCTGCAAAAAATTTTCATACTAGAATTATCCTTTTTATCCGTTTAACTCAGACCAACCAAGAAATGCACATAAAAGTTTACGCGAATGAGTACATTCCTTGCGTATATGTCGTTATAACTATTTCTTGTATTATCGCTTGCTGTTCTGCTAAGCTAGATAACTGGGGAGTGCATTAAGGGTCCTCTATAGGCACTTTTCAAAGATACCAAAAAACGAGCGCGTTATTCTCTTCCGGCGTTTCCCGTCGTGATGCGAGCACTTACCTTGTGGGACGTCAGAATAAATTAAGCTGTCGATCGGTCGTCATACGAGACATATCTGTTGTGAATTCTCTCGTACTCCTTTTTGTCCTGCAGTCGCATGCCCGTACTGCCTTCCCAAACATCGCACTTATTCGCGATCAACTGATCTCACTTTGTTTTTGAATCTTCCCAAGCGCAGATAGCAGCGCGTCATTGGAAAGGGCAAAACTCTGACTGGCTCAACACTTATGGCTGAAATGCCACGCGTTTTATGAAAAGATAACTGGCTAGGACAAAATAGCGCTTCTAGGAAGTGTATATAGTGAAGGAGAGAGAGAAAAGATACCCTCGTGCCTTTTTTTTTCGGCGTGGTTGAGGCGCCCTTTAAGGTTTATATACCCTCGGTCATTGCCTTTCATCAGTTTTGCAGCAAGAAAATGAATGCAAGAAGAAATTGTTAGCCAAAATGAAAAGAAAAAAAAACGCCAGGCTTGCGCGACAGCAAAAGCTAGAAGAGCGGTCTTTCGACGCCTTTTCTAAACATTCATCGGGTAACTGCTCTAAGCGCACCTGCTGGGTACCCACTACGGCAGTAATTACAACAATTTCTAGGTAGTAGAGCAGCATTTACAATGCTATTTTTCGTCATTCTCCTGAGAAGCGTTGCATACGCTTAACACTTACAAGGAATTTCGTGCCAATTGTTCATGTCATGGCTGACGATGACGAGAAATTCTCCCTGAAGTGGGTATGCGCCAAAGTTAATAGGGGATCAAAAAAAAACTATTGTAATGGGTTGGAGCATTGGGCGACCCACAAGTTACGCTATTGGCATTGTGTGACACTGCGTTGTTCATTTGCGGTTCGAAAACAGTATATTACTCATATTAGCGCAATGCTTTTTCCGACTTCAAGCCTGCCTAAGGCAAGTTTGCGAACAAGTTCCAAGCAGTGGCGTGGCTCAGTGAGAGAATACTTAGCTGGCACGCAGTGAACCCGGGTTCAAGCCCCACTGTGTGCTTGGTACTAGGTTTTTATTTTATTTCGCGATAGTGTTTATGTACACCGGAGGCGAACAACTACTGCGTTGCGCGTGACCCGAGCTTTGATCTCATAACAGCCTTTACGCTAAAAAATCACGCCATATCTACGGAGTGAATGATAATGAGTGGGTAGAAGCATTCATCCATCCGTCCGTGCATTTGTACTTCTGTCCATCTGTCTGTCCATCCGTGCTTCCATACGTACGTACATCCGTCCGTGCGTCCGAATGAATCGATGGACAGAGGTACGGACGGACTTATGGACGCACGGACGAAAGCACGAATGAACGGATGCATAAATGAATGGAAGCATGGATAGACAGACAGACGGACGAAAGCACGGAATGACAGACAGACTGTCGGACAGAACCACGAACGTACGGATAGACGGAAGCCCGGATGCATGGACGCGAAGACGGACGGATGGAAGCATGCATAGACAGAAAGATGGACGGACACATGGACAGACGGAAAGAAGCACGGACACATATATGGATGGACGCACGGACGGTTGAACACATGGATGAACGGATGAACGGTTCACCGCACTCATCCATCACTCCGTGGATAGCTGGGAAAACCCCTAACGCCATCTAGTTATATTATTGCCAAAGACATATACACTCAACGCCATTTCTTTAGCAAGTCCTAAACTATAGGTGGTGTAAGGATGACAGCGCCGCTGGGGTTCTGGCACATGATTGGCCAGAACTTGGGCGCATACTTGGCTCGAGGAACACAAAGTCAGTCAGTCAGTCAGTTTATTTTCCTTAAGGACCCCCAATGGGGGTATTACATAAGGGGTGGGAATAATATTTAACAAACGTAATCAATACATGGGTTTCAACTATATACATTTCTTCATATTACAAGGAAATATGCATGTACAATAAATAACACACGTAACCAACATGTAATTCAAAAAAGCACTTAAAGGTTATTTGTTAGAAGATGGTCAGTGACATGTTGTGCAAAAGAAGATGGACATATTATGTCGACAATGGAAAAAGGGAGGTCGTTCCAGTCTTTTGCTGTGCGGGAAAAAAATGACGCGAGAAATGTTGATGTTCGAGCGCGCATTAATGAAACCTGCTGCGTGTGGCTTGTCCTGGCTGATATGCGTGTTGCGGGTTTGATGTAAGATGGTTGATGCAGGATTGAACTGTGAAAAAATTTATGGTAAAGACAAAGAGAAGAAATGCGCCGACGAAGAGCGAGCGATGGAAGATTGGATAGTAATTTTAGTGATGTGACGCTGATGTCGTATGAATACGAAGAATGAATGAAGCGAGCTGCACGGTTTTGAACTGATTCTAGAGCGCAGATGAGGTATGCTTGGTGCGGGTCCCAGACGGCGGATGCGTATTCCAAATTCGGTCGCACTAGTGATGTGTAGGCAAGTAATCTTACCTGCATTGGAGCACTTTTGAGGTGACGTTTTAAAAAGCCTAAGGTTTTGTTAGACGATGAAATGATGTTTTGGACATGCGTACGCCAGATCAGATCGCTAGTCACGGTGACACCTAGGTATTTATAAGAGTTAGTCAGTTCTAGGGGTAAGCTGTTGATTGTGTACGGAAACATGAGCGGATTATTGCTACGCGTAAATGACATAGTTTTGCATTTGTTTACGTTTAGTGTCATTAACCAAGTGGTACACCATTTCGAAACGTTAGTAAGATCGTTCTCTAAGGTTAACTGGTCAGAGGTGTTTAGTATTGTGCGGTAGACAACGCAGTCATCTGCGAACATACGTATATTACTGGTTACATGCAAAGGTAAGTCGTTAATATAGATTAAAAATAGTAGCGGGCAAAGGACGGAGCCTTGAGGGACACCTGATGTTACTGGGATGGCAGTAGACAGGTGGTTATTTACAGCGACGCGTTGTGATCGATTAGTAAGGAACTCTATTATCCATTTTATGACGGTGGGATGTAAATTTAGTTGGGAAAGTTTAGCGAACAATCGTTGATGAGGCACCTTATCGAATGCTTTAGCGTAATCAAGAAAAACGGCATCAGTTTGCACGTTAGCGTCGAGGTTAGTATGAATGTCATGCAAGAAGGCTGCCAGCTGTGTTTCACACGACAACCCCTTACGGAAGCCGTGTTGTGAAGGGTGCAAAAAATTATTGCTGTCGAGAAAATTCATTATGTGGGAGTAGATGACATGCTCCATGATCTTGCAGGGGACGCTTGTTAGGGAGATGGGGCGATAGTTAAGTGGAGAGTTTCTATCGCCTGATTTGAAGACCGGAACGACCTTCCCTATCTTCCAGTCACATGGGATGATTCCTGAAGAAAGGGACTGGGAAAATATTAGAGCAAGAAAGAGCGAAGCACTCTCTTTAACATTTTTTAGAATTTTGGAATTGATACCATCCATGCCCGCAGAGGATGACAATTTCATTTTTTCTATTATAGACAATATTCCATTTGCGCAGAAATTGATTGCTGGCATGTCATGATTACAATTAAAGCCAAGTGAAGGTATGCGGGAGTGTGTGCTTGATTCATCAGTAAAAACTGTAGCAAAAGAAGCGTTGAATAGATTCGCACATTCCCCGTCAGTAATAGCTTCACCAGATTCAAAGGTTAGTACAGTGTCACGCGGTTTGTCAGCCTTAAGTGTTTTCCAGAACTGTCTGGGATTAGTCTGCAGTAGCTTGGGTAGGTCTGTGTTATAGAAGAAGTTTTTTGCTTTGCGCAGGGCTAAAAGATAATTGCGGTCAGCCTCATAGTACCTATCCCATACACTCGGTTGACCTGCACGTTTGGCAGATCGGAATAAACGTTTCTTTTTATTTTCAAGGCGTTTTAGATTTTTAGTAAACCAGGGTTTGTTGCAGGTGCTTGTGAAGCTGACTTTAGGTATGAATTTATCGGTTAGCTCCGTCAGTTTACCGATAAAGCGGGTCCAATTCGTATCTACTGTGTGTTGATGTAAAGTTGCTTGGAAAGTGTGGAAGAATGCGCTAAGAGCTTCGTTTATCGTTTCGTAATCCCCTCTGTCATATAGATGGATCGTTTTTTTGTAGGTTTCTCGTTTAAGCGGTTGAAAAGAAAAAGTGGCGTGAATTGTCTTATGGTCACTGATTTCGGGTAGATAGTGAATGCGTGACAGGCTTTCAGGATTGTTGGTTAGTATCAGATCCAGGACACTGGCTGTATCTTGCGATACACGTGTTGGCTCAGCGACTAGTTGGGTCATGTTGAAGTTTAGGCAAATATCAAGAAACGCATTAGCTTCACCTACATCCGTAGATGAATGCACATTGCAGGTGCGCCATTCTATTTGTGGGAAATTAAAATCACCGAATAAAAGTACGTGCGCGTTTGGGTGAGCAGACGTGAGCTGGCACATGGCCTGATTAAGTTGGTTGCTAAAATTGGAACTAGCACGGGGTGGTCGGTAACAAACGCCCAGTACAACGGACTGAGGACGTGCCTTAATAAGTACCCAGAGCATTTCTAGCTCTGTTTTAATATGTACGACTGAGCAAGATAATTGCTCGTGAACAGCAATGAGTACACCGCCACCACGAGTAGATGCGCGGTCATTCCTGTACAACTGGAAGTTTGGTAATTCTGACAGAACTTCGTCATCACGGATGTCATCAGTTAACCACGTTTCGGTAAGTAATAGCACATTGCTTTCAGAGGATGATACAGTGCTAGATATAAGTTCCCGTTTGGGTAGGAAACTGCGAATGTTAGTGTAAATAACAGAAAGTGAAAGAGTTTTGCTAGTAACCGCAACAGCGGTCGTTTTTTTTTCCCGGTGGCTTGATTGCTACGATAGTTCTTTGACGGTGTTTGATTCGGCGTCGAAAATGTAGCGCTTCTGATTCATGTGCAGTGTTTTGAAGTGCATTGAAAATGGCTTGTTGTTACTTCTCGCAAAAGCAATTAGTTGTTTTCTAGCATTTTGGACTGAGCGTGAGAAGTCTTCACCTATGCCGTAACTTGTCCCCTTAAGCTTGCGACCATTCGATAATATTGCAGTTTTTGTCTTGTGCAGAGCAATCTTCACGATTATGGGCCGGGAGCGTTCAGGTGAATGTCGACCGAGACGATGCGCGCGCTCGATATCTCTTGGTTCTAAGTGAACCTGTAGGTTGTCCCGGCAAAGATTCATTACCAGCCGCTCCGATTCAGAGAATGTTTCAGATGCGGAAGGGTCCGGGATACCGTAAAATATTAGGTTGTTTCGCCTTGAGCGATTTTCAGCGTCATCAATACGGGCTTCTAGTGCAAAGATTCTGCAGGAGGTCTGCTCCGTGTTAACGCGCAGGACTTCTATTTCTTTTCGAAGTGGTACCAGAGACTGATAATGACTTTCAAGGTCTGATAATCTTTTGTTCAGTTCGCCAATTGTTTTATCGGTGTTACCGAGCTGAGACTTCAAGCCCTGTACTTCTGCAATTAGTTGTGTTTGACCTGTAGACAGCTTACGCAATTCAGCAAGAAGGTTCTCAGAGATATTTGAAGGGCCAGGGTTAGTTTCAACATCTCCAGCTAGAATTAGTAGTGCACGAATTACATGGACACACTCGGCAATAATAACCATACAGCAATGCGGGCTTGGCAGCTGTACCAGAAAGTAATTACCAGATCTTTTCGAAAAGACAACGTAGGGCTCACCAACCTGCATAGCGGGAGCGAATTGATTAGTGATCCGTGCAGTGGCACAGACACCAAGCCCACAGCGCTCCGTTGAAGGTCCTTGTTCTTTTATAGGTGTCGGGCTCGTGGATGTCGACGATGATGCAACCGTCCAGGTTTGGTTGAGCTCAGCTGCCCAGAGTCCCTCTTTTGGTCGAGCCAGGCATTTGACGATAGGCAGAGGGCATGCGCTGCCTTCGTCGCTTCCAGGACAGCTGAAGCCATGTTCCGCCGGCGCTACCGCATGCGCAAGCGCAGGTATCAGCAGATGAGCGATGACGTAACGGACCATCTGCATAGCGGGAGCGAATTGATTAGTGATCCGTGCAGTGGCACAGACACCAAGCCCACAGCGCTCCGTTGAAGGTCCTTGTTCTTTTATAGGTGTCGGGCTCGTGGATGTCGACGATGATGCAACCGTCCAGGTTTGGTTGAGCTCAGCTGCCCAGAGTCCCTCTTTTGGTCGAGCCAGGCATTTGACGATAGGCAGAGGGCATGCGCTGCCTTCGTCGCTTCCAGGACAGCTGAAGCCATGTTCCGCCGGCGCTACCGCATGCGCAAGCGCAGGTATCAGCAGATGAGCGATGACGTAACGGACCATCTGCATAGCGGGAGCGAATTGATTAGTGATCCGTGCAGTGGCACAGACACCAAGCCCACCTGCAGTGGCACAGACACCAAGCCCACCAAAAGTATACGACATTTAACACTCCTGGTCGTTTCGATAACGGTATCTATAGGGAAATTGGTATGGGATAACATGACTGTATGACGACCAATAGTGACTTGTCATAACATGAAAATCATGACGTGTATGTCATGAATGTCACGATTTACCTTTCGCGGTCTTGCTGCTATTGTGTTGGTTTCGTTCACATTATATATTGCAAAACTTGTATGGTACGGCGTGACTGCATGGCGAACATAGGCGACAGACTCTAACGCGGAAATCATGACATGCATGTCATGTAAGTCATGACTACACGCCACGCTCATGGTGAGCTCGTGGTCATTTCGCTAGCATGGAAAGAGCGCAAGAGTTCCACACTTAACCTGACCTACATAAAAACACAACAATGACTGTACAACAGAGACACGTAAACGCACATGATCACAAACAGATACACGTTGACACCGATGTACTAATAACTGCAAGAAAGCAAGCACACACCGCACACACTGGCACTTTGGTATGGTCATCGGACAGGGCCATTAGCTAAGTGCACCTTCCACATCTCGACAAAACAAAACGAGCCATCTGTTGCGCTTCCACTCGTTCTTTCCGTGTCGACGGCCCTTTCAGCGAAGAATGCCACCGAACACAAACGAGTCAGCTGCAGAAGCTCAAACCTTAGAGGAAGATTCTTGTTCACCTACACAGCTTTTATCAATTTCTTTTTGTTTCAAGCTGTTGCAATCGAAAACGCTGTTTACAGGAGACGGTATCCTACGTTACAGTGATATATCTCTTTTTTTTTTTACTGTTAGGCGTTAGTCAAAACTTTCGCTGAACGTTAACGGTTATTTGAGAATTTAGTTGCCTCTGCTGTCATTTGCTATTGTTTCTGCGTCTGTTTCGAGGATGGAGTGGCACACTTACTCCGAAAACGAGCACAAATATTTTTAATGGTGATTTGTACATTTGTCCGCACCTGCATGCCCTGTGCTGGAGAGAGATTTCTGGAACTTTCTTGAGCTTAGTTCAGATCACAACAAAGCATCAATACAATCAAACAAAAAGGGAAGGATGGGGAATAGAAGAAGAAAGACGAGAGGAAAGTAGACGATAATGAAGGTAGCCTCCCTCCGGCCACATTGTTTCACGGAACTATATTAGGTTATAGTCACATTAATGTCTTCTCTACTGCATTTATCAAATAAGTAAAAGACATAGCATCCTAGTTTATTTGTTTTTTATATTGTAGTTTTCTATAGATCTCTTTTTAGATTGATAATTTTATGACATCCTATCTTTGATGTTTATCATCACATGCGTTATCATCTTCGTCATATTTTCCACCTGATAGTCTCACCATTTGTTTGTTACTATTCTCATTCATTCGGTGTTTCATTTACAGCGGAGCTGTTATTGCCGTGGTCTGCTTTGTGTCGTAAATGGAAAATTATCACCTACATGAATCGGCACAGGCTCTCTTCCTCCTCCACACTTTCGCTTCTGCTTTGCTCCCGGAGCACGTGCTCTGATGGGACCGGCGTGGGATGCACTGTCGGGCGAAAGAAAGAGTAAGACAGACAGGAGGGAGAGAGAGAGAGAGCAGGAAATACAAAGAAAAAGAGAGAAAGAAAGAAATTCTTCGTCAAAAAGATTTCTTGGTGATGCGTTATTGAATCACACGTATCCATGATGCGCAGCTGCGCGTCGTAACCTCTCGGCTATGCAGGCATGCTGCATAGCCTTGCAGGCATAGCATAGCCTTGTATAGAATAGTATGGTATAGTATTGTATAGTATGGTATAGTATGGTATAGGGGAGCTTTAGGAGAGTAAAGCACAGCAGGAAAAAAAAAGAGAGACAGCAAGCGGGGAAAATAGAAAAAAGCGAGAAATAAAAAAATAACGAGAGAGAAAGAGAGGTATAAATAGAAATAGGCGAAGACCGAGAAAGTAAAAGAAAAAAAGGGAAAGCATTGCTATGTGCAGCATCGTTAGCAAGGTGTGGGAGAGGTAGAGTTGAGAAAGTAAAACCGAGCCAAGTCAGGACGAGTTAGTAACAACCAGCTCTGATTTTGTCCCAACGTTGAGTGACTTAGTGGAAGCTGCGCTAATTCTTTCGTCTAGTTTTTTTTTAGCTCTTTAAAGTCTTCAACCTAAATATCGTGTCTCCCGGTTCTTGGCCGACCCCCCTTGTGGGCGGGTGCCACTCAGAAGAGGACACGTTCATGATCATCATTATTGTCATCGTTCGGTGAATGTGTAGAAGACCCTGCGACTTTTACTTGAAGTGGATGCGCCTGCTACCTGCATCCCTCTAGGGCCTCTCCTTATCAAAGAAGCATTATTCTTGTTGATTTTTACGAAACAAATAAACGTTCTTTCTTCAACACAATCTTTCAATAGGCCTTGCTAGTACGCTTTAAACACAGCATGTCCCCCATTATGTATCGCTGGCTGCACTCATCTCACGTGTTAGTTTGCACACTTTCTCATAAGGTCGATAGCGTGGCTGTGGTTGGCCACGCTTACATATCGTAAATTTCAATACAGTGTTCCAAAAGGAAAATGTGCTTTTACCGACATATCTTTCTGGCAGCTTTGTCAGTGCCAAGATGCGTTCATTTGAATACATCGCGTTGCCGATACCACCGTCAGATTCGGGGTTACGTCTAGCTGTCGCCCAAGACAGCACTCCCATTTCAATGAGGGTGCGACGACGTGATGACGCTTTTCATGCAATGCAAGACGTACGTCACTGGCGCCGATTGCTATGACGAAGGCGAGTGCTCGCAGGGAGGGTGTGAAGGTACAGCGAGCGGGCTCGCACCATCACTCTCGGAAGCTCGATATGTACGCTACCGGAATGCGTTATAACTGAGGACACGCCGAAACGATTGCGACGTGAGCTCGGAGAGCATGGCGACTGAGATTGATGGCGAGACACGGAATAGGGTCACAGAGAGTCCTGTCATCCTTCCTGCTCCAGTTATTTGCAGCGGCACTGTTGTAAAGACGATAGCCTCCATGCCCCCACTTATTGGTCTGGTGGTAAGTCGTTTATGTACGGATAATATTAGAGTACAGTTTTTTTTTTTGCTGTGGCAGTAATTCCTTCAACTTTGTGGCGAAAGAATACACAATAAACACTGAATAATCTCTGTGAAAACACGTTATATTTTTTGATATACCTATTCCTATGACCGAAGAATCAGTCATGCATGTTTTTTTGTCGTCCCTTTTTCCCATTGACGCACTTCGGTGAGGTCAAGCAGGTTAGAAAAATTTTATTCTGCCCAGTTTTTTTTGCCCCTATTTCACTCTTTGCCGAGCATGGAGCTTCCAAAGGTTTTACTGCCAACCACTGGAAATAAGGAACGCTCAAGACATAACTGCTGTGAAGTCTCCTCGTCTTCTGGCTTCCGCGATTCCAATGCAAAAGCCAGAATTGACAAACGAAGAGGTAATAATATAGTTATTTGTGTAGTTTCACGTACCGGAAGCACAATATACTAATGAGACACGCCGTGTGTTCCACATTATTTCAACCACTTGGGTTTTGTGAAAGTCCACAGATTGCCAAATACACTTCTATTAAGCCTATCACCTCCACAGCCGCCAGAACCTGCACCGTAACGAGAATGGCTTATATTACATATTCCTTTTGTTTCTATTTTTTATTATTATTGTGTTGCGAATGTGCCATCTGGAAAAATGATTGGTAAAAAAATTTGGCAGATCCCATGAACAGTGAAATCGGTGATATGTGAAGCACGTATGAGGACGGTTGATATGTCAGTCTAAAATCAGCACACTGTTACGAGGGGAAGGTAGATGATGCCGTACATGACTTAACTGTCATGAATATAATGTTTTGATGTGTCCTTTACCTTGGTCATTTATTCACGTCACGTGATACCTAATATAGCTTATGAGGAGTATATGTGGAGCTAGCAAAACGGCCGTGAGCACGATATGAGCATGGTATGTTGTCATTTTCTGAAATAACAAGCTTCTCAGCATTATCGTGTTTGCACCAGTCATATACTATCGTCATCCATTGACGTCAAGTAACAACCAATTAGGTATATGCGGAGTTAGCGAAACGGCCGCAAGCGCATAATGAAGGGCCCAATATATCCTCATATAGCGTTGACGCACGCGTACGCTGGGCACAGCGACGCTACGTCAGCAAAACGCGACTGTATAGTCTGACGCCAGGCGCGACCGGCGCGACCAGCATCCGTCGGGGTGGCCCGATGGCAACCGACGCGACATGCGACATGCTGAATTTTGCGCCGTTGCGTTACCGAGGCAACACTGCGTCGCCCTCTTTTCGTGACGAAGGGACGCCGGACGCGCTGAAACACGCATGCTTCGAAGTAACGA